CTCCTCCTCCTCTTCCTCCTCCTCCTCCTCCCCCTCCTCTTCCTCCTCACTTTCCCACTCGGCCCCCTTCGCCAGGTCTCCCCCATACTCAGCAACCAGGAGAACACAGTGCAGTAACCCCTCGCCTTCAGGACTGGGTGAGGGCACCCTGTGTTGTCGGACAGACAGCAAGGCTCATAATAAATATTTATGAGGTGCTATTATAGAAAAGTGGTTTGCAGTCCTCTGTCTGTGGGCCCTGGCCGCTGGCCTCCCCCTTGGGGCCGCACCCGGCTGACCGCAGCTCTCTTTCTCTCTGCCTGTGCCTCGGGCCCTGCCCTTCTGCTGCCCCTGGCCACGTGGTGCAGATCAGGCTGGCAGCTGCTTTCAGGATGGAAACTGGTATGATAATAATGATGTGTGGAAGCCGGAGCCCTGCCGGGTCTGTGTCTGTGACGACGGGTTCGTCCTCTGCGATGATGTCATCTGTGAAGATGTGAAAGCCAACTGCCTCAAGCCTGAAATCCCCTTCGGAGAGTGCTGCCCCGTCTGCCCAGAGGAGCTCGCCACTGCCAGTGGTCGTAATTTATTTATTTCTTGTTCAACATAAATAAATTACTTGCGGGCACAGCAAAGGCCCCCATGCATGTCACCACTTCTGCATAGCAGAGGAGTTGGCTATCCATGGGACCTCGCAGGCTGGGGCAGGAAGGAAAGGCCACTTCTCACGTGCAGGTTGGAGCCCAGGGACACTCGAGGGATGCGTCCTCTCCAGCCCATCCCAGAGGCAGGCTTCAGGCACCTGTGCAGGTGTAAACTGGTGCCCCAAAAGTGTCCTCTCTGGAACCTGCAAGTTTCTAGAGTCACAGTGCAGATCCAGCACTCTGGTCAGACCCCAAGTCCTCCCCTGTCCCCCACCCTTCCCTTCTCTGTGGGAGACCCCAAGTGTGTCATCCTCAGCGCAGAGAAGCCCCAGCTGAGGCAGGCTTCCTCTCTTAGGCGTGGAGCATCGGTGTGTTTCAGCTTTGGCTTGATCTGCCTTGGAGCTGTCAATAATGAAGCAAGTTCAGGACTAGGAGGGCCTGGGAGTTGAGTGGGGAAAGACGCAGAAGGGCCGGAGCACCAGCGCGTGCACTTGGGCTCCAGTCAGAGCCGTGCTGCCCGACAGGCGGTGCAGGCCACCCCGTTCCCAGTCCTGGGTCAGATGCATCATTTCCCTTCGGGGCTGGACAGATGTGGGGTTCCTTGGTAGATATCCACTGTTCTTTCCTTGTTCTAGCAGAGAGGCAGGTGAAAAGGGGTCAGAGAAGTCGCCTTTCCTTAACACTTCCCCCATGGGCTCCTTCACAGAAGATGCCCCGTCTTCCTGAAGGGCCCATGCCAGTGAAGTGTCGACTGCCTGTGGGATTTCGTGGCTGTGGCTGTGGCGGGGGGAAGAAGGGGAGGGGCTCATGACTCGGGCTGCCCTGGCTTCCATGCTGTTTGTAACTCTTCTGTCTTGCTGTTTTTTTGTGCTTGCTTCAAAGAGACCAGCTCTAACGTAAGACTTTCTACGTCTCTAGTTCTACTTCTGGGAAGGCTTGGGGTTGGGGAAGGGTTTTGTGCCTTCTGGGGCAGGGAGAGGCTGAAGCTTGTGAGCTTGCTTTCTGGGTGGTTAATTCCATCCAAGTTCTTGATTTTTGCTTTGTTCTGCTCTTGCTCCACTCTTTTGCATGCTTTCTGCTTTCTAAATAACAAGGTCTGGGGCATCTCCCTTCCTCCTGAATCCTCCGAAGTTGCAGGGTCACAGGGGACCCTAACACCTCTGCAGAGAGGTCGGTCAGGGAGTAACTGAAAGCTGCCCCTCCCTTGGTTGTGTCCTTCTCTTCATTTTACCCCCTAAAGAGTGTTTGAATGACAAGAGTGGTGCTTGCCCAGCTTCTGTCTGAGTCTTACCTTCTCTTTATTTTCCCCCCATTCAGGGAAACCAGGACCAAAGGTAAGAGTCCCCCACTCCTGGTCCCATTTATATTTCCTCCTTCAGAGATGATGTAATTTTGCTCCAACTTGGGATTCTTTAGACATCAGAAGATGTCTGTTCCAGAGGGCGATCCCAACCTGGGGCTGCTGGGCTGGATTTGGGGGCCTGGTGGGCTCATACTCAGCTAATCAGACACAAACTTCCTATTTCAGGGACAGAAGGGAGAACCTGGAGACATCAAGGATGTAAGTACAAAGTGTCCTTCTGTGCAGCACATCTGTTGCCTGAGTGGTCGTGGCCTGGGCGTGCCCCTGACCAGCCATTCTGTGGGTCTCCCTCTCGTAGATTGTAGGACCCAAAGGACCTCCTGGACCTCAGGTAAGATAAGGAGGAATCCTTTCCTCCAGCCACCTCCCCTTACAGCATCTGAATTGATGTCTGACGACTTCTGGACTTGCTGTCATCTCTCTGTGTTCCTATCCTTCAGGGACCTGCAGGCGAACAGGGACCCAAAGGTGATCGTGGTGACAAAGGTGAAAAAGTGAGTAGAGTGCCACATTGCTTGCTGTGTGCAGAGCCCCACGTCCCCCCACGCCCACCACAGGCCTGCCTGCCTCCTCAGAGCTGTCCCTGAGCAGAAGCGCTGCTGCACATGGCCCCTTTTCTCTTTCTGCCAAGGGCCCCCCTGGACCTCGTGGCAGAGATGGAGAGCCTGGGACCCCTGGAAATCCTGGCCTCCCTGGTCCTCCCGGCCTCCCCGGCCCCCCCGGCCCCCCTGGCCTTGGTGGAGTAAGTACCCTTATTTCCCCTCTTGGACTGCTCCTCCAGCAATGTGGCCTCTAAATTACTATGTGCACGTACCTGGCCAGTGCCCAGTGGCCAGCGGTGTGTACACAGCCGGGCCGCAGGCCTCACCCAGGCTGCTAACTGAGCAGGCACACACGAGGCCTGCGGCCGTAGGGCCCAGGGTGACTGCTTTTTGAGTTGTTGGGCTTCTGTAAAGAAAGTCTTCAATTACCTGGCTTCCTGGCATCTGTACCATGTGGTTGATTCTTGGGGGTCAGGCTAGGGGCTGGGGGACAGCATGACTGGGCACTTGTATTCTCTGGAAGAGGAGGGACCACTGTCCTTGGAGGACATTTACTCTCGATGCTTGCCAAGCGCGCTGCAAGCAGCTATTCATGCTCATGAAAGGGCCCCACTGAGTGGAGGTGTGTGGCTGCTGTCGTGTTGGGAGCAAACCAGCCATTGAACGACATTATTACCCACTCTTTTCAGGTTTTCAATTTTGATGTGTGCTATGTTTTAAATTCTTCAACTTAAATTGGCTCCCAGATGCTTACCACATCCTTTACAGAAATATTTAGAGACTGTTGACTTCAGTCCTTTGCTTGGCATGAAAGGCTTAGAGGACAAAGAATACCTTTAAGTGATGTTTTAGTTGTGTTTCTCAATATGTGTTAAATAATGTGTGGAACACACTTAGAATATAGGAATAATTCTGCAAAGTGAAACCCAAGCACAGACACTACGCTAAATAACACTTCATCATCCCAGGAAGTCATTGCACCACTGTCATTTCATAACATATTCCCAAGGCGATTCCCCAGACGTGCTTGCTGATCCTGGGAGCACCCATTAGTTGCTAACCATTAGAGGTTGTCTGAACAGTGGTCTTTCTTTCCAGATAGAGTTTCCTAGCAAGTGGGCGTGACCTCAGGCCTCTCAGCCTCCTAAGTGGGTTGTTGGGTTGATTTTGCAGAACTTCGCTGCCCAGATGGCTGGAGGATTTGATGACAAGGCTGGTGGCGCCCAGATGGGGGTCATGCAAGGACCGATGGTAAGGACAGAGCCGCTCTCCACAGCCGGAGAGTGTCTCTCTGTCAGTTATGTGACCTCCCGCTGCCTTAGCCCCGAATGTTCGTTTGGCCTTTGATGGCGATGAACACCAGCCTTAGTGATTCGTGGGCGCAACTGAGCAGAGTCGGTGAGGGATGTGTGTGCTGGGGCACGAGACGGCCGACAGCTGCTGCTCTTGGAAGGAGAACTGAGGCGCGCAGACAGCGGCCACTGTTCTCTAGCATGCGGACTCCAGCAGGAAAGCTCAGCCCTGCGGCTCGGGCCTGGCACAAGCTAAATGAAACTCTGCCTTTAGCAAACATGGCTTCCATCCAGGAGAGAGCGAGGCTGGCGTCTCCATCCAGACAGTGCCCATAAATAAGAGGAGGTGGTTGCATGGGTCGTGGGGGATGGCAGGAAGCGGCTGCTGCAGGCCCTGCTCGCGGAGCATCTTATGTTTCTTTATCTGAGCTTCTGGCTAAGAGAAGGTGGCCCCCGGAGGCTGCTGGTGACCTAGTTTTCTCTTCCAACGCAGGGCCCCATGGGACCCCGAGGACCTCCAGGCCCCGCTGGTGCCCCTGTAAGTATCTGCTATGTCTGTCTTGGGACTGTGGCAGATACTGTCACGTTCTTTACCATCTTCATGTTTGCGGTGAGTCAGCCTGGTGTCCTCACTTTGTGTTTCAGGGCCCTCAAGGATTTCAAGGCAACCCTGGAGAACCTGGAGAGCCTGGCGTTTCTGTGAGCACCTGGGTCCCATCCCCGCCCCCAGAGCCTCTGGTGACAAGCCCCTGGGACCTCCAGCTGCTTCACATAGTGGGGTGGCCCAGGGGAAGATCAGATGTCAATCCCTAGGAATCAGTGTGGCAGGACCCCCAGGAATGGTCATGACCCTCTGGGGTGGCTGTGGCCTGGGCCGTCTGCTGCCTCCTGCTAGGATTTGTTCTGCATGCTGTTCTGACCTTTTTTCTCTTCATAGGACAACTGGCTTCTAAACTCCCACCCCCACATTTTGCCCACAATTAAATGTCACCCCCTGCTGCCATGACTTCAACTTCCTTGCTTTGTTTATAGGGTCCCATGGGTCCCCGTGGTCCTCCTGGCCCCCCTGGAAAACCTGGTGATGATGTGAGTGCACCCCAGTGGCCTTCTGCTTTGCAAAGTCCCACAGAGCCTGTGTGCTGAAGGGAAGGGGTGCCATGGGTAGCGGGGCCCGAGAACAGGGCAAAGCGGTTGGTCCTAAAGGCCAGCGTTGGTTGGGTGCAGTCGCCAAGTGGGGAGGCATCTGTCTCTTATACGCCAGCTCAACTGCCGTCTGTGGCCGCTTGGAGCTGAGCGTGTGAGTTCCCTAAGGATCTACTGAGAAGGGAAATAATTAAAACATCATCAGCCCCAGGAAGGGAAAGAGAAGAAAAACACAAGGCAGAAAGATGTGGAGAAGGAAAAACAAAGAAGGAACCACTCCATGGCCCAATGTTATCTCAATTGTAAATGAGTTAGAAACAGCTCAGCCTGAGCCAGGATGTCCACAGGGGCTTCAAGGCAAGCAGAGACCAGAGCTGCTCCGAGCGCTGCTCATGAATAGCATTAGACAGAGAGGGCTCCTGAGGTCAGGGCACACTCGCCTGTCACCAGAGCCGGAGAGGCTGGAGAATGGCAAAAGGAGAGCGGGTCCATGAGAGGCATTCGGGCAGCATGTATCTGCAGGAAGTGAGGGAGAGGAGGACAGATGGCGAGGGCGTGGGGGGCCAGTGTGTCTTCCGAGGACAGTGACCTCTCTCCCCTCTCTCTGTTTTCTTCCCCTTCTGTCTTTCCAGGGTGAAGCTGGAAAGCCTGGAAAGTCTGGCGAAAGAGGCCTACCAGGCCCTCAGGTAGAGCCCCTCCTGGCCCACCCTCGCCAGGCTTGCCCTCGTCTCCCTCCTCACCCCATCCAGCGTACCCAGTTTAACTACTTAGCCCAGGGCCAGGAGCTAACTGGCCGCGCACATCATGTGGTGATCACGTGTGTGACCCCACGGCCAGGGAGGTAGGGCTCAGGGTTCTGGGTGTGGCTGAGTGAACAGCCCTGCCAGGGGTGTGTGCTCCTCCCTGCTGGCCCAGGACTCTGGCTCCACAGGCCCTACAGCAGCCCAGCAGGCCTGTACCCCACCTCACCATGTTCTGAGTCTCCTCTTTGGATTGCAGGGTGCTCGTGGCTTCCCAGGAACCCCAGGCCTTCCTGGTGTCAAAGGTCACAGAGTAAGTGTTGGGGGCAAGGTCATGGGAAAGAAGGGGCTGCTGTGGCAGAAGGAGCACTTTGGGGTGTTGTGGTCCTTCCTGTTTGAGGTCCAGAGTGTGTTCACATGTTCTTTGTACCCTTTAGGGTTACCCTGGCCTAGATGGTGCTAAGGGAGAAGCTGGTGCCCCGGGCGTGAAGGTAAGGGGTAGATGTGGCCAAAAAAAGACTCAGTCCAGCCAGGCAGGTGCATCCGGGCTTATGGAGTTAGGACAATAGAATAGTGTTGGTTAGGCATGCCAGGCCTGATCCTGATGGGTGGACCACTGCCTGAGGGCTGAGGAGACAGCCCTCACCGAGACGAAGCTGGGTGTCAGCTGAGACCCTGCCCTTGGCAGCTTTCACAGGACCCAGACGCTGACCTCGTGTATCTTTCTTTGCAGGGTGAGAGTGGCTCCCCTGGGGAGAACGGCTCTCCAGGCCCAATGGTGAGTCCCGCTGCAGGCAGGCACCCTGGAGCCGCCCCTGGCTGTTGGGCGGCTACACTCCAAGCACCTTCACTGCCTTTGTGCAAAGTAGATTTTCAGTTTTGATCTCAGCTCTGATCTAATTATAAACAAACAGCAGCAGTCTGATTCGGATTCTGTCTGACTCTGAACAAACAGCAGTGTTGTAGCAGGTGGTTTGTCAAGATCTCACCATTTCCTTGACATCACTGTGTTCACACACTTAATCTGTGCTTCAAGTTTTAAAACATTGCACCTCTTCTCAGTGTTTTAGGGTTCATCTGCCCTCAGAGGGCATGATCCTTGAGGGCTCTGGCATGGCACAAGCCCTGGGACCTGTCCGAGGGCTCGTGGGCCAGCCAGCAGGGTGGAGTGGTTGGAGGGCCTCACTTTGGGCTCCCAGCCTGGGCTTGGGGACTGCAGGTAGTAGTCAGCACGTGGAGCACACTAAGCTGCCAATTCCTACTTGGGCCGCGTGTCTTCCAGGGACCCCGTGGCCTGCCTGGCGAGAGAGGACGGACTGGCCCTGCTGGTGCTGCGGTGAGTGATCATAGTTTTGCACGTTAGAGTTTGCAAGCCTATGTTGCTTGCCCTGCAAGGCACCTCTCTGAGGTGTAGGAAGCATGTAAGAACACACCCTGGGTGTGCCCAGGGAAAGGCCCAGGCAAGGCCAGCACCCTGCTAGGCAACAGGGCTGGGGTGGGCATCTGGGCTGTGAGAGCGGGCTCCCTCTCATGGTTGGGCTTACTAGGGAACCTCTGCAGCAATCTCCAGCCTCCCCGCCAGCCCAGGTGGAGGGTCCGGGCAGCCTCAGCTCTGTGCCACGCTGCCCTTTGTGCTGCTCCATGCCCTAAAGGGGTCGTGGAGTTGAGCACCAACTCGCGGGGCTCCATAGCTGATGCTGTGCTAGCTGTGTGCAGTATGCTAATGGCCTCCCCTCGTGGCCCGCCTGCGTTCAGTACCCTCGTGCTGTGTGCCGTCTAGTCTTCCCCTCTGAGGGGCTTTCTGTTCTTTCTCCCCTTTTGGAGGAGCACAGAAGGGCTTAATATTAAGACAAGTGGTGCTCTGCAGCCTCCGTGGCGGTGGGAGGTGACGGGTGAGGGGGTTGTCAGCCAGGGGAGGTGCAGACCCCTTAGCAGTAGAGAGGCTCGTAGGGGCTCTGTCAGGCACGCAGTGTGATGAAAGCCGAGTTTAAAAACACTGTGCTTCCTGGCGCTCCACACCCCGCCACCCGAGTCGGAGGCCCTCCTCCGAGTCTGTGCAGGGTGAGCCGGAACGGTCCGCTGTGCTCAGGGCTGCTGCTGCTTTCCAGGCGCCGTGTCTGTGTAGCCAGTACTTCCCTCAAGAGCAGATCAGTGACACTGTAGCAGAAAATGACCCCCTGCAGCCAGCATATTTCAGTCTGTTAGTTGCCCAAGTAGCTCCAGTGCACTTCAGCTCCTGGTAAGAGTTCCTGTCACAGTTCCTGTCGCTTCTGTGTCCATGAAATGGCTGGCCACTGTGATGTGTATTGTCAGGACCAATCAAAGGCAGCCCAGTACTCTGCTCTGTACTTCCTGTATACAGACCCTACAAAAATGCTCATCTACCACTACTCAGGGCCTGACACTTTGAGAACGATCCTGGTCAGTGCCGATTGACATTAAAGAAATCTACCTCCAAATCCTGGGTGAGAGCTCAGTGTCTATCTGCCACTGCAAAGTGACAAGCAGCTGGAAGCCCCCAACTGTGAGCCAGAGCCTTGTTCTAGGTCACTCAGGAGGGGTGACAGGGCTCTGGGCCCAGTGCCTGGGGACACTTCTGCTTCTGTGGACCTGCAGGACCGTGACTTTGGGCTTGGGAAGAGGCCCTGAGCCACAGTGGCCCTGCCCTTGACAGGGCGAGGAGGGCAGGCCAAATCCCTGCTACTGTCCTTCTGGGGCTCCTGCCTGTCCTTGCTGGCTCCTGTCCTCATAGCAGTCCAGCTGGAGCTGTGTGTGGATTAGGCCTAGAGCATCGGCCCCCTTGTTCCTGTGCGCTTCTCCACCCAAGGCCCTGCTCTGAACTCTCCCACGGCCTTCTGGGCTGCAGCCCCAGACACGGGCAGGCCTCTGTGGCTCTCTCCCTCGGGCAGCCTTGCCTTGCTCTGCAGAGCAGAGTCTCTCAGGGCCAGAGCTCGGGTGTGTTTCTGGGCCCTTGCTTGTGCCCCATCTCCATCGAGTACCTGCTTCCCAGGCCAGCCAGAGGTATCCTGTGAGCATCTTTGCTTTCCTCAAAAACAGGTTCTCTAGGAAGGCAGAGCACAGAGGCAACCTGGTCTGATCCAGGAGGAGGCCTCAACGAGCCTTAGCCAAGAGGTCAGCCAAACCACACACGTGCCTCCCCTGTGTGGTCAGCAAGCCCCGAGGCCAGGTGGCTGCCTGGCTGTGTCATTTTCCCTTTGTGCCATTCGCTGAATCACTGAGCGATAACTCAGCCTTAGAGTTAGGGGTATTTGGCATCTAGATAGAAGTTTCTAGAATGAAGGGCCAGTTCGGAAATTGCCCAGGTCCACTACCCATGGGCACGACCGCGCCTTCAGACCTCCCACCTGCCCCAGTGCTGCGAGGCCCAGGGGCAGGGGCAGGCTGTCCTGCAGCTCGCCCCAGCCATGCTCCTGGCGCTCAGCCCTGGGACACTGTCTCGGTGTCTCCCAGGCTTTCTGGGAGGGAGTGGGACCGCTTGACCTGTGCACACCTCTCACAGGGCTCCTTCCTTGTTTGCAGGGCGCCCGAGGCAACGATGGCCAGCCAGGCCCCGCTGGGCCTCCCGTAAGTTATTTGTCACTGTCCCCCTGTCTGCTCACTAGCCTTGAGCAATCCCAAGAAGCCTGCAGGGTTCGCACTGCTCGCTGGCACTGGGTCTGGGCGTGCCTGGGGCGTGGTGGTGGCGCCTTAGAAGTGCCACTCTTCACAGCTCAGTTCTGTGCTTTGTTTTCCTGTCCTAGAGAATGAGCCAAGAGCCTTAAAAAATATGTATATTTTTAATCATGAGAAGGGGTGTCCAAGGACAGTCTGCTTCTCACCACGTGTGGCCAGAAATTTGCTTTGCCGTCTAAAGCAAGGCAAGGCCAGGCATTTCTCTGGCACTCCTGGGGGCACAGACAGCAGCAGCAGGGACAACCCCTGCCTGGGGAGTTTTAGGCATAATGGACACAGAGCAGCATCAGTGAAAAGGGGGAGGGAGGGGAAGCCGAGGCATCGCCTTTGGGGCTAGGGCCCTCTGCCCAGGTTCACCTCCACCCCTTTCTCTTCCAGGGTCCTGTTGGCCCAGCCGGTGGTCCTGGCTTCCCTGGCGCTCCTGGAGCCAAGGTGCGTGCCCTGCTCACACAGCCCTGAGAAGCTCCCTCTCCTCAAGCCTGGCTCGCAGTGCCCCCACTCCTTCAGGGAACTCCCCTGCGCAGGAAGGAGGGCTGAGCTTGCCAGAGTCGCCCTCTGGATGGGACTGAGATGGGGCGATAGAAGCCGGGCGTCCAGTTGCAGCTGCAGCGCAGCGTAGGAGAGACAGATGTGGGAGATCCTGGAGGCTGTGGGGCGGAGTGCCAGGGTGGACAGCAGGGAGAGAGCCTGGGTGAGGCCGCAGCGAGAGCGAGCCGGAAGTGGTCGTGAAGAGGGCCCCTGCTCCCCTCTGTGCAGGCAGCTCTGCTCCACGTGGGGCCGGCCTCCCCCAAGCCACGCTGATGGAGTTCTTCTGCAGATTAATGGAGGCAGCGGGAGGCCGCCAGCGCAGGGGAAGGCCCCTGGCCTGAGGGATTCCAGTGTGAACGTCCCTGGGAGTGAATAAGGAGCCTCGTGTGTCCCTGGCATCAGGTTGCTTTTCCCCTCCCGGGGTTTCCATGGCAACCAGACAGTGTCTGAGGCTCAGGGAGCCTGTGAAGGAGGCTCATTGTGGAGAGGGACAGCGAAGGTGAGGGGGCCTGACCTCCAGAAAGTAAGAATGACAGAGTGCAGCAGGAATGTGCGAGGAGAAACCCAAGGAGGCTCCTACCTCGCTCCAGGCCAGCGGCTCTCCCGAGGCACCCTGGCCCAGAGCGCCTGGTCTCAGGGAGTTGTGACTTTCAGAAAAAGAGGAAAACACAGTAGAGCCATTCTGTGGGGTGAGGCTGCCAGGGGCAGGGAGAGTCAGGCTGCTGGAGCAGGAGTGGAGTGGGGCCCTGGCCCAGCGGGCGGCTGCCCTGGCCTTGGTGCCGCAGGTATCGCTCAGCAGCAGGTACGCTCCAAAGCGTCAGGGACAGGAGGCCAGGTGGCCGGGAAACTTCAAGCCTCCCCGCTCCTTGGTAGAACAGTAGGACGGGGCAGGAGAGATGGCCATGCAGGCCATCTGTCATTATCTGATGGCACTAGGGTGGCTGAGGTCCCTCAGCCCGGGCCTCTCCAACAGGTGCTGGCAGACCCAGCAGCTACCCAGTGCCCTAGCTAAGGAGCACCTGTGCTTGTGCGTGGGCTCACAGAGGGGTCCAGGGGCCAGAGAAGGCGGGCGAAGGAAGTCATTGGGCTCGGTCTGGTGGGGACAGTGACAGTGAGACCTGCAGGTGAGCACGTGTGAGCATGTGTGTTCACACGCAGGGCTGGTGTGTGCTCTGACTGCAGCCAGCCCTGTACCGCTGCCCTGCTCCCGTTGTCCTCTTCACCCTCTGGTCTTTTTCCAGGGTGAGGCCGGCCCCACTGGAGCCCGTGGCCCTGAAGGCGCTCAAGGTCCCCGAGGCGAACCTGGCAACCCCGGGTCCCCTGGGCCGGCTGGTGCTTCCGTAAGTGCACTCCGCCTTGCCACAGGGGCACTGGCCCTGGACACTTCTAACTCCGTGTCTGCCTGAGGGCTGGACCCTCCCTAAACCTTTCTCCTGCCCAGCCTGCTCTGTCTGGCCATCCAGGAGGGATGACTCCGGGTGTGGACGGGCCTGCAGGGCTGGGGCTCCCCCTCAGCTGCATACTTTACAATGCCTTTCTCCCTGCTCAGGGAAACCCCGGAACTGACGGCATTCCTGGAGCCAAAGGATCTGCTGTGAGTGTGGCCCCGGCCTGTTTCCTTGGGTGGGCTCCACCCCTCCTGCGTCACTCCTGATGCGCCTGCTCTGTTCATGCTGACAGGGTGCTCCTGGAATTGCTGGTGCCCCCGGATTTCCTGGGCCCCGTGGCCCCCCAGGTCCTCAAGGTGCAACAGGTCCTCTAGGTCCAAAAGGTCAGACGGTAAGAACCCAAAGTGACTCCTGTGTTCTCCCTTCTTTCTGTGCCCTCCTGCCCTGGCCTCACTCAGTGTCCACTGAGGGGACCTTGTGTGGGTTCCTGGAGGTGGGAAGGCTCTGTGGAAGTCACCCAGTGAGCATCTGCCTCTCTCTTTCATTCAGGGCGAGCCTGGTATCGCTGGCTTCAAAGGCGAGCAAGGCCCAAAGGGAGAAACTGTGAGTGTCTGTGTGCCAGCCATCCTTGTTGCTGCCCACCCATTGTCCCCTGACGCGGCTCTCCCTGTGGGAAGGCTACGTACTCTCCCAGGTGGCCCGTGTCCCCCAAGTCCCGGGTCCTGAAACATTGCCAAGACAGCTCCTTCTACACATGGAGCCAGGGCTTCCCCTGTCCAGGAGCAGGCTCACCCTGTTCTTTTTTCTGCTGACCCACAGGGCCCTGCTGGCCCCCAGGGAGCTCCTGGTCCAGCTGGTGAAGAAGGCAAGAGAGGTGCTCGTGGTGAGCCTGGCGGTGCTGGGCCCATCGGCCCTCCAGGAGAAAGAGTAAGTGGCCGGGGTGAGGTCACAGACCAGTGAACCCACTCCCGGCAAGGTAGGGCCTGGCCCTGAAGGTGACCTCTCAGCATCTTGCAGACTATAGCTCCCGCTCCAAACAACTGTGGTGGGTGGGTAGGTGGATGGGCGACATCTGGCACCCGGTAGGTAGGGAGCTGTGTGCACTGCCTGACTCCCCCCCCCCTTTTCTCCCCAGGGTGCTCCTGGAAACCGAGGTTTCCCAGGTCAGGATGGTCTGGCGGGTCCCAAGGTGAGTGGGGAAGGAAGGGTTGGGACTTGCAGGCACTGCTGGTCACAAGGCTGACTGACTCCCTATCCCACTGACTCCCTGTCCCTCTCCTCTCATGTAGGGAGCCCCTGGAGAGCGAGGGCCCAGCGGCTTGGCTGGCCCCAAGGGAGCCAATGGTGACCCTGGCCGCCCCGGAGAACCTGGCCTTCCCGGAGCCCGGGTAAGGAGGGCAGCTTCTGTAGGCTCTGGGTTCTGCACAGACCCTCAAACCCTTCTTGCCTGCTCTCTCCAACTGGGCTGCCAGGGCTGGGAGGCCCAAGCCTGCCCTTGACGCTGCCTTCCTCTCTCTCCTGCACACAGGGTCTCACTGGTCGCCCTGGTGATGCTGGGCCTCAGGGCAAAGTTGGTCCATCCGTAAGTCCACCATGCTGGGCTGCTGGGAGGATGGAGGGTACCTCTGGGGAGTGGGTGGGCAACAGTTTGGGTGGGGCCAGAGTGCCATGACATATGAGACCTGGGGTAGGGGACAGGGCGGGCTCTGGGGCCAGGTGTGGCCAGTGCAGTTTCTGTGAGCTATGAAAATGCCTCCCCCAGTCAGTCAAGGGCCTAAGACAAAGCCCAGCATGCGATTTCCGGGGCGGGGTCTTCCCAGTCAGAGCTCCTTGCTGTGAGGGGGTCCAGCTGTATGGACTGGGCTGCTGCCAGCAGCTGTGGCCCATCTAGATGCTGGATGTGTGAGCCGTGCCTCTCCACATGCCTGCTGAACATGGCAGGGAGGGACGTGGCCAGAGGTCTGAGCTCTCTTTCACACTGGTGTCATCTCTTTCAGGGAGCTCCCGGTGAAGATGGGCGTCCTGGACCTCCAGGTCCTCAGGGGGCTCGGGGGCAGCCTGGTGTCATGGGCTTCCCTGGCCCTAAGGGTGCCAATGTAAGTGACAGTTCGTTCTATTTCCTTCCATGTGGCACTATCCCCTCCTTGGTCCTTGTAGAAAGGGTTGGACTGGACAGCTAAGCTGGGGACAGTGACAGGAGTCTCTGTACCACGGGCAGCTCTGGCCCCCCTGGGCCACGGAAGTGCCTGCGATCTGGACAAGGAGGCTCCTTTGAGGTTCAGGACATCACAGCTGTGACACTGTGCTGCAGGGCAATGCCTGGTGGCCTGGCCACTTCTAAATAGAACAGAAGGAACTGACCCCTCTCTGTGTCCCCTGCTGCGTCCCCAGCCTGCTCGATCCCCACTCTGCTCAGCCCTCCACCTCATGGCCCTGCTCTCTCCTTCCTGCAGGGTGAGCCTGGCAAAGCTGGCGAGAAGGGCCTGGCTGGTGCTCCTGGTCTACGAGTAAGTGCCCTTCCCACTGCCCATGTCTTGGTGCGGGCTGGACATTAGCAGGGGATGCGTGTCCTCCCTAGGCATGGTAGTGGGATCCTAGTTAACAAGAGCCCCTGTATCTGAGGCCACACCGGGCCAGGCCCTTGGGATCCACCCAGGGAGACTTCTGGTCACTGGAGGCAGCTGGCTGGGGAAACAGGGTCCTTCCACGGAGAAGGCCAGAGACCAGGAAGGGCAGAGAAACTTGGAAATGGAGTTCAACTGCGGGATCCTGGAGACCTGGAAGCGCTGGGCCAAGGGTGCCTTGCCCATGTCCTGGGAAATGGAAGAAAAGTGTGCACACAGCACATGACCTTTCTCTCTGCCCTTTAGGGTCTTCCTGGCAAAGATGGTGAGACAGGAGCTGCAGGCCCCCCCGGCCCCGCTGTAAGTGCCCACCAGCCCCTGTGGGTGGCTCTGTGGGAAGCGGCTTGGTGGTTGGGACAGGGAACCTTGGGCCCTCCTGGTAAAAGAACTGATGGAAGTAGATCTGGGCTGCACTAGGATACCTGTCCCAAGCTAAGGCGGAGTCCGGGAGGCAGCGCGGCCCCGCCTGTGGAGAGGTGTGGGTGCTGGAAAGGCTCAGGCCCGCCGTGATGGCCCAGAGGTGTCCGCCCTGGGCGGCCCTGCCTCAGGCTGTGGCTCGGGCTCCTGGGGGAGCCTCCCTGCTTACCTTTCTTTCCCTCTTCAGGGACCTGCGGGCGAGCGAGGCGAGCAGGGTGCTCCTGGGCCTTCCGGGTTCCAGGTGGGTGACGGGGCCCAGCTTTCTGTCTGGCTCTTCCCACACTGAGGGTTCCCTGGGGCACAGCAGGGGCTGAGGGGTCTGAGGCTCCCCTGCCCTCCTTGTCCCATCGCTGTGCCCTTGGGTTCCCTTAAGGGCCAGGGAAGCAGACGTGTCCCTCTGTAACACATGTCACTCACTCTGGCTTCTAGGGACTTCCTGGCCCTCCTGGCACCCCCGGTGAAGGTGGAAAACCAGGTGACCAGGTGAGTGTGGTTCTTGGATCCTGCGCTTGTTTAGATGGCGTGCAGGAGGCAAGGGCCGAGTGGCACGTGGAGCCCACGCGGCCTGGCTCTGTCCGGGCCCTGCGGCCTCCCTCTATATGGATGGAAGTCTGAGCACAGCTCTCGGGGGCTACGCTGCTGCCTTGGGGGAGGACTCCGGGACACCACTCTGACCTGTCCTCTGCTCTTCAGGGTGTTCCTGGAGAAGCTGGAGCCCCCGGCCTTGTGGGCCCGAGGGTGAGTGTCCTGTTGTCCTGTGGCTGGGAATCTCCTGCAGCCCACCCTCTCTCTGCAGCTCTACCAGGGCCCTCTAGCCCTGGTCCCAGGGCCCCCTTCCCTCCCCTGTCCCTCCCTGCTGAGCTGCTTGATGCCTGACTCCTCCATGTCTGCCACAGGGCGAACGGGGCTTCCCGGGTGAGCGTGGGTCTCCTGGTGCCCAAGGCCTACAGGGCGCCCGTGGCCTCCCTGGCACTCCCGGCACGGATGGCCCCAAAGTGAGTGAGGCTGAGACCTGGGCATCTTGTGGGCATCCTGGAAGGCCTGCTGCTGGGGAGAGGGAAGGAAGGGCTGGGGAGGAAAGTAGGAACAAGGGAAGAGGAGGGGAAGAGGAGGGGCTGGGTGAGGGCTCCCTGCCCAAGCTCAGGGGGAGTGCCGCCCACCCCATGCCTCTCGCCTCCCCCCAGGGTGCATCTGGCCCAGCTGGCCCTCCTGGGGCCCAGGGCCCTCCGGGTCTGCAGGGAATGCCTGGAGAGAGAGGAGCTGCAGGCATCGCGGGCCCCAAGGGAGACAGGGTACGTACCAGCTGCAAGGCGCCTCTCCTGGAAGCCTCGACTGTGCTACGATTCTCACGGTGGTCCCAGGGCCAAGGGGCCTGCTCACCCTTTCTGGAGAAGCTTGGAGTCTCTCTTCCAAAGTGTTCAGCCTTTTAGCAGCTTCCTCACTGCCACCCCTTCATCTTGCTCCACTACTCCTTGTCACCTGTGCAGAGGCCACAACAAATCCTTGTTGGGCAGGGACTGAACTTAGAACTCCAGCAGGGTGGACAGAGCTGGCCGAGGGGTGCTGAGATCCCCCCAGGACAGCTGATTTTCTCTCCTCCAGGGTGACGTTGGTGAGAAAGGCCCTGAGGGAGCCCCTGGAAAGGATGGAGGACGAGTAAGTGACTGCTGCTCCCAGGACTGGGGAGTAAGGTGGGACAGGGACAGGGATGCGTGGACTTGGGAGGGCACAGAAAGCCAGAGGGACTTGCTTGTCCCAGGGGGAGCTCTGGGACCACGGAAGGGAGGCCCGCACAGCCCTGGCCTGCGGCTGACTCTCCTGCCTTCTCCCCTCTCCCCCAGGGTCTCACGGGTCCCATTGGCCCTCCTGGACCAGCAGGGGCCAACGGCGAGAAGGTGAGCTAGGCCTGCTTTTTTCTGTGCGGCTCCTCAGGCCCAGTGAGGCGTTCTCTCACCTCTTGGTGGAGGTGGCGTCTTCTGCTTGCACCTCCACTTTGCTATTACCTGTTACCCTCCTGCCACTGTCACTGCAGGGCGGAAGGGTGGGGCCCATCAGTGGTGAAGCCACTGGCTTTGTGTCGTGCTTGGTAGAGCGGTGGACTCAGGGTGAAAGGCTATGAAGAACTTGCGGGGAGGCTGAGGGGAGGAAAAGGCGGGCAGGGCCTCCCAATGCGGAGCTCCTGAGGGCCCTCTGACCTAGCTCCTCTCCCTCACTCTAGGGAGAAGTCGGCCCTCCTGGTCCCGCGGGAAGTGCTGGTGCGCGTGGTGCCCCGGTGAGTGGACGCCTTAGGGGCCAGGGAGGTGCTCTGCCTCGCCAGCGCCCTTCGGCCACCTGCAGGCTGTCCGTGCAGCTTCCTACCTGTCAGGACACAGTGGGGGTGCAGGGCCGCTGGGCCCCAGATCCTCCACTCCACAGAGGTGTTCCGCCCTGGGCCCCCTTGCTGACTCAACCTGCCTTCTGGGGTGATGGGTCATGAGACTGGGCTGCGCAAGGGGCTGTGGGCTCTTGGAGGGTACCTAACCCCTCCTGGGCTGCTCCTCACAGGGTGAACGCGGGGAGACTGGGCCTCCCGGACCTGCTGGATTTGCTGGACCTCCTGTGAGTGCCTCCCCTCACCCCAATCCTACCCCCACCCCGCTGGCTCCACATCCATCACCCAAGGGTGCTTTCTAGCACATGGACATGGGAGGGAAGGGTGGAGGGACAGAATTTCAGGACAAGGGAAAGGGACTCCCCTTTGCTTCCATACTCCCTGCCCTAGCCCAGCCCCTCACCCAGGCTGTGTGTGCACACGCAATTTCCTGGCCCCTCCTCACCTGTCCCTGCCTCTGGTTACAGGGTGCTGACGGGCAGCCTGGTGCCAAGGGAGAGCAAGGAGAGGCCGGGCAGAAAGGGGATGCCGGTTCTCCAGGTGCTCAGGGCCCCTCTGGAGCTCCTGGTCCTCAGGTGGGTGAAGCCAAGCTCCCCCGGGATTGTTCCATGAGGAGGCAGCTGTGTGCAGGAGGAGAGGCCCTGGTGACCTGCAGACAGTGGCTAGGAGCCTGGGTCCCTTGTCGCCAGGCAGCCGGAGGGGCTCCCATTCCGTGGAATGTGGGGGATGAGGGCTGGGTGCTGAAGGATGGGCACAAAGTACAGCCTGTGTCTCCACGGACCCCACCCAGCTAGGGGATAGCTGGTCTCCTGGGAGTGGGGACAGAGACAGGGAGGCTTTCCCGGAGGCGAGACCTTCCGTGGGTTCCTGGTTGGCTTCTCCTCATGCGGCTGGTGGTGGCTTCTCTGGCTTCCATCTGCCCCTAGGCTGCAGGAGCCCAGTGGCTGGGCTTAAAGCCTCATGATCTCTTTCCCTTACAAGGGTCCCACTGGAGTGACAGGGCCGAAAGGAGCTCGTGGCGCGCAAGGCCCCCCGGTAAGTGAGGCCGTCCATGTCCCCCTGTGGATCACCAAGCTAAGTGATCCCGGAGTGCTCAGGGCTCACCACCTCTTCCTCCCTTCTCAGTCCTGCTCATGCCCCAGCCCAAGCCTGTCCCTAGCCAGGTGGAGCGAGGGCATCTCTCACTATCTCTGCTGGCATGGTTATCCCGGAAGTCTGGGGCCCTTGGCCGGCCACTCAAGTCCCCTGTGGGCGAGAGGCCCAGATGCCTGATTCCGTGGTCCAGCAGGGCCCTCTGTCCCTTTCAGGCTCCCTGCATGCTGGTCTGCAGCCTCCTGCTGCCGAGACAGTCCCTGTGCCCCTGCCCCTGTGCCCCTGTGTCCCTGTGCACCTGTGCCCCTGTGCCCCTGTGCCCCTGCCCCTGCATCCTGCCCCTCCCTGGCTCCTGCTGGGTTGGTTCTGGGCCCTCCTGAGGGCTTGAGGTATTCAGAGGTTCTCTCCTCACCCAGGGAGCCACCGGATTCCCTGGAGCTGCTGGCCGCGTTGGACCCCCAGGCTCCAATGTAAGTGTCACTTTGGCTGGTGTCTACCTTAGTCCTGGGGTGGGAGGCAGGAGGGGACGTGTCTGACTGAGTCCCCAAGGCAGAGTTTATAGAGCTCCAGGCCGACCCCTTTCCCCCGCCCACTTCTCCTCAGGGCAGGACTCACTCACTGGCCATACCATAGTCCCGACCGTAGTCAGCTAGGGGCATGGCGGGACCATGCGAAGTCATGGGCTCTCTCCTCAGACTCCCAGCTCAGCAGGCCAGAAGGGTTGGCACGAAGGCCTTCGCCCTGGACACACCTCTGTGCCCCTGCCCCTGTGCACATTGTTCACCCTTGTTGTTCGCACATTGCATGCACCTGGCTCTGGGCTTTATCAGGAAGGCAGCAAGGCCCAGCCCTGACTTGTAGGGGGCCAGGGGGTGCAGAGATGTGGAAGAGTCGTTCTGCTCGCCAAGGGAGAGCAGAGGGCTTGGGGTGAGGAGCAGTTGGGGTGTCCCTAAGACCAGGGCCCTGAGGACAAAGTGAAAGGTGAGAGAACTTCCACATGGACAGGAAGAGAAGTGCCAGGGCTGACGGAGGCTGTCGCAGGAGGGCCCGAGGAGGCAGCCTGGGTCGGGCCTGAGCTGCCCTTGGGGGGTGGGGAAGTCCTCACAGAAGCTGCTTTCCTGAGGTAAAAGCAGCAGGCTGATGGGAAGGAGAGACTCGTCTTCATGCCCTGTGCTTGCTCCATTTAGGGCAACCCCGGACCCCCTGGGCCTCCTGGGCCTTCTGGAAAGGATGGGCCTAAAGGTGCTCGAGGAGACAGTGGCCCTCCCGGCCGAGCTGGTGACCCTGGCCTCCAAGGTCCCGCAGGACCCCCTGGCGAGAAGGGAGAGCCGGGAGACGATGGTCCCTCTGTAAGTCCCCGCCAGGCCTGGGTCGAGGCAGGGCACACAGTCTTGGGGCGGGAGGTGCAGGGACTGCGTGGGTGAGAGGGCACAGCTCTCCATGCTAGTCCTCGTCTCCTGCCCCTCCACTTCCAGGGTGCCGATGGTCCCCCAGGTCCCCAGGGTCTGGCTGGACAGAGGGGCATTGTCGGTCTGCCAGGACAGCGTGGTGAGAGAGGATTCCCTGGCCTGCCCGGCCCATCGGTGAGTGACAGGTGCTCATCCTGAGAGCCCCGCGGTGCCTGTGCTGAGGCTGCCTCTGCAGAAGCCTTCGCCCTTGTTCGCTCCCACAGAGCCCTCAGAACCACGCTCCAGCAGGCCTCTCCCCAGGGTGGTGCTGGGACCCCGGAACAATATTTTGAGTGTGCCTCAAGGCTGTTGTCTTTGTCCCCACAGGGCGAGCCTGGCAAGCAGGGTGCCCCTGGTGCATCTGGAGACCGAGGTCCCCCTGGTCCCGTGGGGCCTCCAGGTCTAACTGGTCCTGCCGGTGAACCTGGGCGAGAGGTGAGTGGGGACTTCTGAGGCGACCCTGCCAGCCACACAGCAGGGCTCTGGAGAAGGGGGTGGCAGGGTGGGCTGAAAGCTGCAAGAGTCCAGTGCCCCGGAGGGCTGGGGGGGATGGCACAGGTGCTGACACACGGACAAATGGGGGCAGCTGCTTGGAGATGCGGCTTTGGCCCCAAGTGCTGATTGGACAGAGGTGCACAGGTGAGGTGGGGCAGGCCAGGGCCGGCTCTGACCTCAGCCTTCTTTCCCTTTGCCCAGGGAAGCCCTGGTGCTGATGGTCCCCCAGGCAGAGACGGCGCAGCTGGAGTCAAAGTGAGTATTTTTTCATGTCTTGCCATGGGCAGGCCCTAAAGGTCCACCGGGGGCAGGTGGGCACTAACCTTGGCTCAGTGGAGAAGAAACTTCTGTCCTTGTTGCTTCTGGAATGTTCTACCCTGACCCTGAGCTCGCTTTCCCTACAGGGTGATCGCGGTGAGACCGGTGCTGTGGGTGCTCCCGGGGCCCCTGGGCCTCCTGGATCTCCTGGCCCCTCAGGCCCAACTGGCAAGCAAGGAGACAGAGGAGAGGCTGTGAGTGTCGTTGATTCAGTAGGAGCTGGGGGAGGGGGGCTGGGCAAGTGGGGGCGTGGCCACGTGCCCTCCCTGCAGTCCTGGGGCCCAGGGCTCCCTGGACTCTGGGCAGCAGCCTTAGTGCCCAGCCCAGTGGCAGGTGTAAAGGCCATCCCTGTCCCTGTCCCTGATGCTGCTTTTCCCTCACACCACTCTTACTCTTCCCTTACAGGGTGCACAAGGCCCCATGGGACCCGCAGGACCTGCAGGAGCCCGTGGAATCCCTGTGAGTATCAGAGACCCCTAGGGCCCGGGACAGGCTGGGACTGACAGAGGCTTCCTGCTGGTCCCCACCTGCTCTAATCCTTGAGTCTTATTCCCAGGGCCCTCAAGGCCCCCGAGGGGACAAAGGAGAATCTGGAGAGCCCGGAGAGAGAGGCGTGAAGGGACATCGTGGCTTCACCGGCCTGCAGGGCCTGCCCGGCCCTCCTGTGAGTGTCCCTGCCTGAGTACGGCTGCCCAAGGCCTCCTGCTGCACTCAGGGTCACTGTCAGAACACCCAGGCTGCCGCAGTAGAGAGGGAGGAAGTGAAGGCGAGGGGAGGGAGGACACACGGCTGCTCCCTACTGCCCAGGTCCACAGCTTTGACTGTGCTGACCTCTGCCCTTCGCTGCCTCCATCCACAGGGCCCCTCTGGAGACCAAGGTGCTGCTGGTCCTGCCGGCCCCTCTGGGCCTCGGGTGAGTGACATGGAGTCAGGGTGGGGCTCGGGGTCACCGTCAGGGGGTGGGAGTCCTGAGGGGCATGGAACGCTGCTGCCTCCCTGCTCTCGAGGCACCAGAGCGAGGCAGGGTGGCCTTCTGCAAGGAGCACGAGCCCAGCTCTGCACATCAGGCCCCAGTGGCAGAACTTTACAGACAGGAATTTAGAAGGGTGGGGAAGCCCTGGAGTGAGCCTGCTGGCTGTTAGCCAGCCAGAGACCGGCACTGGGCACCGTGGCTCAGCAGTAAACCTGTACCATCAGGGGGCACCGACTAGCCACAGCTCCTTCCGGCCTCCACCCTTCCTCATCTCTCCTCTCTCCTGGTCCGTAGGGTCCCCCCGGCCCTGTTGGTCCCTCAGGCAAAGATGGTGCTAACGGAATCCCTGGCCCCATTGGGCCTCCTGGTCCCCGTGGACGCTCAGGTGAAACCGGTCCTGCTGTAAGTGTCCTGACTGCGTCCCCACTCTCTGGGGCATCCCCGGCATCTCTCTGGTGCGTGGGACCTCTTGGGGGCGTGGGCCTGCAGCTTGTGGTGATGGGGGACTTTCTCCTGAAGTCTTCTCCAAGATGGGCTGAGGAGGAGTTGCATGGGGCCAGGGAGAGGACACTGTCATACACTGTAGTGGCTGAGAAGGGGACAGGCACAGGAGGGGTGCCTCCCGTGGTCCTGCCTGACCTCTGTTTCCTATTGCAGGGTCCTCCTGGAAATCCTGGACCTCCCGGCCCTCCAGGTCCCCCTGGCCCTGGCATTGACATGTCTGCCTTTGCTGGCCTAGGCCAGAGGGAAAAGGGCCCCGACCCCCTGCAGTACATGCGGGCCGACGAGGCAGCCAGCACCCTGCGACAACATGATGTGGAGGTAGATGCCACACTCAAGTCCCTGAACAACCAGATCGAGAGCCTGCGCAGCCCCGAGGGCTCCCGCAAGAACCCTGCACGTACCTGCCGCGACCTGAAGCTCTGTCACCCTGAGTGGAAGAGCGGTGAGCCTGGGGAACGGGCCTGCCCCAGAGACACCTCGCCGCCCTGAGCAGCCAGGCGGACTGCACATCGTGCGGGCGGGGGTTCCGGCAGATGGCTGCCTCCGCCTCACACCAGGGGGACTCCATCCCCTTCTGCCTGTATTCTTAGTGTTAGGCTTCTTCTGGCCCCCCTTTCCCGGGTAGCAATTTACCTCTGCCCCCTTCAGTCCAAGCACAAGGCTCCCCTTTCCGCACCCCAGTTTCCCTGTCAGCCAGACCCTGGGGCGCCTGCAGACTGATGCGGTGCTGCCTCTTTCTATGCAGGAGACTACTGGATCGACCCCAACCAGGGCTGCACACTGGATGCCATGAAGGTCTTCTGCAATATGGAGACGGGTGAGACCTGCGTGTACCCCAACCCCGCCAGTGTGCCCAAGAAGAACTGGTGGAGCAGCAAGACTAAGGAGAAGAGGCACATCTGGTTTGGGGAAACCATCAACGGGGGCTTCCACGTGAGTATCCGGTGCCTCAGCCCGGCTGGCTTCTCAGGCTTCCTTCTTCTGTCTGTGGTGCCTCAAGCATGTTCCCGTTCTCCACCAGCCTGCCTTTGGTCTGGAGAGGAAGGAAAGAGGAGAAAAGCTTGACCCCTCTTTAGGACCCCTGAGCTTGTTCTGCTCTTCGCTGCCCCATCAGCTCCTGGGCCCGGAGCAGCGGGCCCCTGTGCACCCCTATAGGCCCAGGGCCTGCTGGCGCCAGGCTCCACACCTACCCTCTGCCCCTACAGTTCAGCTACGGAGATGACAGCTTGGCTCCCAACACGGCCAATGTCCAGATGACCTTCCTCCGCCTGCTGTCCACTGAGGGCTCCCAGAACATCACCTACCACTGCAAGAACAGCATCGCCTACTTGGACGAAGCAGCTGGCAACCTCAAGAAGGCCCTGCTCCTCCAGGGCTCCAATGACGTGGAGATCCGGGCCGAAGGCAACAGCAGGTTCACGTACACTGCTCTGAAGGATGGCTGCACGGTGAGTGGGCCCGGCTCGAGCTGCAGTGAGAAGGGTGGCTGGGGTGCTGAGGGTGGGCCTGGGGTGACGGGACCACACTGCTCAGTCAGCTCGTCCACCCGGCTTAGAGGGAGCAAGGTCCTTCCTGGGGCACAGCGGCTCTCGTGGATGGTAGCTGGTGACGTCATAGGGATGGGCACCCCTGCAAGAGGAAGAGGGGTCACAGCAGGATGCTGCTGGGAGGACGGGGAGTCCGAGAGGTGGGGGCAGGCTGGAGGGTGCTGCTGCCGAGAACAGGAGTGGTAGGGGGAGGGCTTGGCAAGTACAGCAGAGGCCTGGTGCTGGGAGCATGGCTGGCCCCCGTGGCTGCTGGGCTTTGGGGTCTCAGCCCTGGACAGGCCTGCGAGGCTTGCACTGAGAGGTGTCCCCTCTCTTTCCCCCAGAAACACACTGGTAAGTGGGGCAAGACTGTCATCGAGTACCGGTCCCAGAAGACCTCACGCCTGCCTGTCATTGACATTGCTCCTATGGACATAGGCGGGCCCGGGCAGGAATTCGGCGTGGAATTAGGGCCTGTCTGCTTCTTGTAAAAGCCCACCCAGAGCCGACACAACCCATTACAAACCCAAAGGACCCAAGTACTTTCCAATCCCAGTCACTCTAGGACTCCGCACTGAACGGCTGAGCGGACCTGAGGTCATGCGTCCACCCATTCCTGGGTGGGACTGCGCTCTCCTCTCTTTCTAAGAGACCTCAACTGGGCAGACTGCAAAATAAAATCTCGGTGTTCTATTTATTTATTGCCTTCCTGTAAGACCTTTGGGTCGAGACAGAGCAGGAAAGTAACTGGAGTGAGTCAAACGCCCCCAAGTGGCTGCCCCAGCCCAGGCAAGAAGACCCTGCAGGGGCTGGGTGCAGGAACTCTGTGTCCTACACAATGGTGCTATTCTGTGTCAAATGCCTCTGTATTTTGTAAAACATCAATTGATATTAAAAAAAATTATTGGAAAGTGCACACTGACTTGAGTTTTCTTCTTGAGTTTTTTCTGTGGTAGGCTTGATTTTTGTGGGTGTCTCAGCTACTTCTCTCATTGCTGGGAAAAAATACCTCCTACCCAAAAATTAAGGAAGGAGAGATTTATTTATCTCACAGGTAGTGGAGGTTTCAGTCCACACTCAGCTGACTCCAAGGCAGAGTGGCTCATGGCAGAGGGCAGCAGCTCATGGAGGCAGAAGACAGCAAGAGCATGGGGCCGGGAGATAGCTCAGTTGAAGCCTAAGGGCCTGAGTTCAATCCCTGGCTCTGCAAAAAAAAAAAAAAAAAAAAAAAAGAGGAAGAAGGAAGAAGAAGAAGAAAAAAGAAGAAGAAGAAGAAGAAGAAGAAGAAGAAGAAGAAGAAGAAGAAGAAGAAGAAGAAGAAGAAGACAGCAAGAGCAAAGGGAGGAGCAGCAGAGGCAGAGCGCAAGCCTCGACCCCTCCCTTACTCTGCTTGCAGACTACCTGCCCCAGGGTAGGTGAGCACTCACACCCATAATCCCAGCCCTGGATCATGAACTAATCAGCCTCTAGAAGTCGGCCCTATGACTGCATGAGGCTTTGGGGTGCAACTAGTCACAAACTGTGACAGTGGGAATACGGGCCTTTTTCGGGTGACTCTTTAACCAAGAGTGAGGACCTGGAGTCATACTGCCTGGTTTAGTAACCTCACACACTCACAGAGCCTGGACAGTGTGCGGACCCCAGCGGTGAGCGAGGGCCAGAAACCCAGTACAGAGCCTGGACAGTGTGCGGACCCCAGCGGTGAGC